CTTCCGGTTTTCTGGTGTTTTATTGGAGATAGGAGTCTCACGGTCTTTCCTGCCCGGGCTGGCTTTGAACCACGATCCTCAGATCTCTCTCAGCCTCCTGAGTAGCTAGGATTACAGGCGTGAGCCACCAGCGCCCGGCGAACACCTCACTCATTAAAAACAAATCTCTAAAATTAATAACTAATAAGTACAATAATAAATATAAATAGAAGTAAATACCCCAGTGGAAAACATTCAGTTTGCCTATTTACATTCTTTCCTCCCCACCTAGGAAAGAGCAGAGTTATAGTTTGGTTCTTCCTAGGAATTAGTAGGAGGGCTGTGTTCCCTTAAAAGCCAAAAGGGGAGGGGACCTGCGCTAAGGGCGGACTCACGTGCAGTTGGTAGGAGAAGGTCAAGATAAGCTGGACACCAAGAACGTTCTCTGTGGCTTGCAGAGGCAGCTCCAGTCTGAAATGTAACACGTCCATTTTCCCATCCTGGTTCCTGTCTTCTTCTCTAGTCTACAAAACCCAAAGAAAGAGGTTTCTGTCCCTCTCTTCCCCACCACCTTTTTGCCGGACCTGGGGCTGGAACTCCGGGCGTGGGTTCTGTCCCTGAGCCTCTTGGTGTTCCACTTGGTGCTCTACCACTTGAGCCACAGCACCACTGCTGGCTTTTTCTGAGTGGTTAATTGGAGACAAGTCTTATGGACTTTTCTGCCTAGTCTGGCTTCAAACTGCAATCCTCAGATCTCATTCTCCTGAGTAGCAAGGGCTACAGGTATGAGCCATCAGTACCTGGTCCCTGCATGCTGCTCTCTCCCTTTTCGGGCATGGTTAGAAACTGAACCCAGAAGCTGGGCGCTGGTGGCTCACACCTGTGATCTTACCTATTCAGGAGGCTGAGACCTGAGGATTCTCACTCCAAGCCAGCCTGGGCAGAAAAGTCTGTGAGACTCTTATCTCCAATTAACCATGGAAAAACAGGGAGTGGAGCATGTGGCTCAAGTGGTAGAGCTCTAGCCTTGAGCACAAAAGCCCAGGGACAGTGTCAAAGCCCTGAGTTCAAATTCCATGACCAGCAAGCATGAACAATTGCATGCACATCCACGCACACATGCACACATGGGCACACACACACACACACTCCAGAGAGTAAGTCTGGATCACTGCACATTTTCAAATGTACATAGGCTAGAACCAAGGCTCAGCGCCACAGTTGCTGTCTCTACATCACATTCACCCATTAATCTTACAAGGGCTTTTTGAGGTGCTACCATAAGCCAGGCAGCTGTTTGACATGTTGAAAACACAATTTTTTTTTTTTTCTGATCGTGGGGCCTGAACTCTGGGCCTGGGCGCTGTCCCTCAGCTCTTTAGCTCAAGGCTAACGCTCTACCACTTAAGCCACAGTGCCACTTCTGGCTTTTTCTGTTTATGTGGTGCTCAGGAATTGAACCCAGGGCCTCATGCATGCAAGGCAAGCATTCTACCACTGAGCCACCTTCCCAGCCCCAAACACAATGTTTTGTAAGCAAAACAAAGTCCCCCGTGCTAACAGAACTAAAAAAATTCCATTAAGAAGGGTAGAAAATAAATCACAAACAAATACAGACTTAATAATATCATGTAAGCCCAAGTGTCACAAAGAAAAATGGAGCAGGCTAAAATTAGAGCATGATGAGGGTGGAAGGAAACAGAAAAGTCTACAGGAAGTTTTCAGGATGATCTAACGCATTGATGACCTGAATGAAGACGGGAGGAGACACAGGAATGTCTGAGGAAAGGGTGACCCAGGCTAACCAAGGTGCTGTGTTCTCAGTGCCCAGCGGCCAGGGCAGCCAGGCAGAGCGGCGAAGGCCATGCAGAGGGAGGGGAGGGATCAGAGCGAGCCTTGGGCTTGAGTGAGGGTGGAATGATGCATCTTCCATTGGTGCCGCCACGTGGGCCTCTGATGAAATCAATTCTTTACTTCCAGTCAGTTTAAAATAAGCATAACAGCCGGGCACTGGTGGCTCACGCCTGTAATCCTAGCTACTCAGGAGGCTGAGATCTGAGGATCGCGGTTCAAAGCCAGCCCAGGCAGGAGAGACCGTGAGACTCCTATCTCCAATAAACCACCAGAAAACTGGAAGTGGCGCTGTAGCTCAAGTGGTAGAGCGCTCGCCTTGAGCTGAAGAGCTGAGGGACAGCGCCCAGGCCCAGAGTTCAAGACCCACGACCGACAAAAAACAAAAAACATAGAATAAGCATAACATGTGTTAACAGAGATTCAGAGACATAACACTTCCTCAGCACAAATTCTGTGCCAGTACCTAAAATCTAACTGGTGCCTGGTCATGACCATGAATCATACTGTAATCTTATTCTTATGAGATATAGTGTAGTTTGGGACAATTGGAACAAGTGTGTGTGTGTGTGTGTGTGTGTGTGTGTGTGTGTGTGTGTGTGTATACAGGTATTAGGGTTTGAACTCAGGGCCTGGGCCATTGTCCCTGAGCTTTTTTGGCTCAAGGCTGACATTCTAGTACTTGAGACACACATCCACTTCAAGCTTTTTGCTGCTTAACTGCATATGAGTTTCACAAACTTTCCTGCCCTGGCTGGCTTCAAACCTGGATCCTCAGATCTCAGCTTCCCGAGTAGCTAAGATTATAAGCACAAGCCACCAGCACCCAGAAAAGGCTGCTCTGATTTTTCTTCTCAACATACTTTAATGCATTGAAAACATAGGAATTTTTTGTTTTTGTTGTTGGTTGTGGGGCCTGAACTCTGGGCCTGGGCGCTGTCCCTCAGCTCTTCAGCTCAAGACTAGCACTCTACCACTTGAGCACAGAGCCACTTCAGTTTTCTGAGTGGTTTATTGGAGATAGGAGTTTCACAGACTTTTCCTGCCTGGACTGGTTTTGAACCATGATCCTCAGATGTCAACCTGAGTAGCTAGGATGACAGGCGTGAGCCCCCAGTGCACAGCAAACATGGATTTTTATGGTTGGACGTGACTCAAGTGGTAGAGAGCCTGCCTAGCAAATGCAAGTCCTTGAATTCATAACCTAGTAACACACACACACACACACACACACAAGAAATAAGAAAAAATACAGGCACTTTAGGAATACTGTGCAAGGTAAGTAAAACAGAAGACAGATATTTTTCCAAAATTGCCAACTGCAAAACCACTTCCTGATACTATGGTATAGCCTTCACCTAAAACCCAGTTTCTGGGCTTTCTGGGCAGATTCTCAAATGTGATAAAGGAGTGTGGGTTTATGTTCAGAGTTAGAAAATAGCCAGGCATCTGTGGCTCACGCCTATAATACTAGCTAGCAGAGTATCGAAGTTCGAAGCCAGCCTTGGAAAGGGAGTCTGTAAGACTCTTACCTGTGATTAACCAGCAAAAAGCTGGAAGTGGAGCTGTGGCTCAAGTGGTAAAAGCACTAGCATTGAGTGAAAAAAATAAGGGACAACAGCCAAGCTCTGAGTTCAAGCCCCAGTGCCAGTAGGAATACTTAGCCAAGTTTCTTGCTGCAATATGATTAAGGGTAAATGAATAAGATTAAAAAAAATTATTTTCCTTGTAGAGACAGAATCTATGTAGCCTAGGCTGGCCTCACACGCCTCATTCTCCTGCCTTGGTCTCCTGAATACTAGAATTACAGGGCTGGGAAGGTGGCTCAGTGGTAGAGCACTTGCCTTGCATGCTTGAGGCCCTGGGTTAGATCCCTCAGCACCACATAAGAAAAAAGCTGGAAGTGGTGCTGTGGCTCAAGTGGTAGAGTGCTAGCCTTGAGCTGAAGAGCTGAGGGACAGCGCCCAGGCCCAGAGTTCAGGCCCCA